AACCAAGTTAGAATCTTATTGTTATGTTACTAGTAAATATAAAAAGGACTTGGAAATAAAAAAATATGTTTTGTGCTTCTAAAAATAACTATTATTAATCACGCACAAAATAAAGAATAATAGATACAAATTAATCTGTTGAATCTATTAATTTATTAAATTTATATTAACTGAAGCAAATAATTTGATAGTGGATATTAAAAACCTGAATCTTTTTATCTGAAATTATACCCATGCTAACTTTATAAATCAATTTGTTTTATTTTACTTTACTTTTATTATTTAAACTTTTTGTGTGTAATTCAGAGTTAGTAAACGTATTACTAACAGTAACAATATTATTTATTTATTTCAAAGTAATTGTTGTTCCTAATATAGCAAGCTATGGACTTCGTTATTTTTAACATGAGCTAATTGCTTATTCATACCGGTAGTGTTCTAATTTCGACCACTCCCAGTTAAAACCTACCCAGGAAAGTCAAGGCTCGGCAGATAGGCAGGTGGTGAAATGCTCGTAATGTACAATTATCCACATTAGCCGACTGTTACTGATAATTAATAGTTTTGGCTCTGTTCTCTGGAAATAAAACGTTAATTGTTGACTGGCAGTGTCAGTAATGGGCCCTTCCTTGGTGCCAGTTATTATTAAAAACTGCTCGGAACACTTATCAGATGTATCTCTGTAGACAGGTTTCTGTCTTTCCGTTTTTGGCTCGGTCATTAATTATCTGGCCTATAATTAAAATGTGTTTAGACACGTGAATATATTTTGGATTGCTTCATAACACTGTTACTGAAATGGTGTAAAATATAAGTTTCAGATGTTTAAATTAGGAAATTAAAGGAGATTAAATTTACTGCAAGAAAAGTATATCATGTAACTATTTTGGTTTAACCATTTACAACATATAATAAATTATCTTATTCATATATATATCCAGTACTCCTTCAATAATGTTAATTTGTATGTAAAATAAATGCTAAACAAGGCAAAGCCTATTAGTGCGTGGAACAAGCAACATGTTACCTAGTAATCTTTCACTTCCGGAGACCAGCACCATACTTTGGGAATCGACTAAATACATGTAAAAGAGTGAAAATCAGCCGGGAGGCAAGCTTTAAAATAATTAGGTCACGGGCAATGACGTCATCAAAATGGCCGCTCAGCCAATAATAATAATGTCGCATATCTCGGAAACCGCGTAACCGATTTTGACGCATGACATCTTATTTGAAAGGTCTAATTATTATCTATGAAAAAGGTAATTACACCTTTAGCGGTTAAACCAACGGTTTCTTTGTATTTTAGAAAATATTAATTTTTTACGCCCCACAAAATGGATTTTTTGGATTTATCATTTGGAATTATTAAAATAATCAAAATTTACTTTCCACCGTTGAATCCAGCTTTAAAAGATGAACAATTTAGTATTTTGAATCATCGCTCTATGTATATTGGTTACCGAGATATTGAAAGTAGTAAACACAGAACACTCTGTCCCCCATGTTATCCTTATGGGAAAAATAACATTTTATATCTCAGTTATTTTTTAACGTATCTTAATACAACTTGGTATGTGGTTTCACCTAGTTAGGCTACTTGATAATGACTATAAAATATTTATATTTTACATTTACATGGCAGCAAACCTACATACTCATTTCCCATGTTATTCATATGGCGAATTTATGCATGATTATTTATGAACATTGTACTGTACTTTCTCAGGTTATGTTGACAAAACTTGACGTTGAGCTTAATTTTAATTAATTATCTAAACATTTGAAATTCACTGAGTATACAGGTCTACTGCAACGGGGGTTTTATAAATATTAGTAATTTTATTTTGGGAAATATTTTTTTCCTGGATTGGTCAGACTAAGAGATCTGATGGCAATTTGTCGCAATTGTTGAACAAGAAACGTGATAAAATCCTTACGTGTTGTTTTTGTTTCTTTTGAGTTTACATTTTTCTAGTAATTTTCATATAGGGTTTGACGTCTTTTGTGCTTCTTAAAACATAGTTATTGATCGTTTAGATTATTAAAGTGGTTACCTAAAGAATATAATATTCATAGTATTTTTTTTTTTTTGGGTAAAATCTTTTGGGCTTTTCAAAACACAGTTATGGATTGTTTTTTTGTGGCTACCCTACCTGAAGAGTAGTCGGCATTTCAGGCTTTGGATTGTGGATTCCTCACTTAAACATATTATTACATAGCATTAGACCGTTTATTTAATCCTTGTATTTAACTGAAGAATAGTATGAAATACGGCTTGGCGTCTCTGTTATTTCCCTTTAACAAATTAAAAAAATGTATTATATATTTATTGTATATAATACGCGAAGCCGTTTTTGTTAACACTACTCCTCCCTTATTTGTGGGCCAATTTCAACGTTTGAGGTGTCAAAAGATTCGTCTCAATTTCTAAGAAAAAAACCACGCCTTGATATTATATGCTTGGATGAGAATCTCCCCCAGACAAATTCCGAAATAATTCAGACGGAGGCAGGAACTATTTCAAGACAAGATTAAGTTGCACTCCATTTGATATAAAATCCACCTGCAAAATACTAAAAACTTGCATACTCAGGGAATTTAAAATACTTCGATAATTAATTAAAATTACGCTTAATGTCAAGTTTTGACAGCATATGTTGTAATGAAGTGTCGAGGAAGCCCAAGGTTGGGTAATGTAATATGGGCTAAAACACCAAAGCACCGAGGAATGGTGCTCAGTGACCCGAGGGAAAAGTACTGAGGGAAAGTGATTAGGGAAAAGTGCCCAGTACTTTCGGCCAGGGGTGGATACTGGGTACTTACCCCCACTCTCCAAGCATCTTACGAGTTACGACCCTATATAAGGAGCATTCTTGGGGGACTTCGACATGTTGGGCCTCCGAGCCCGACCCCGTCGGTAGGCGCCACCGGTGGGGTATGCACTAGAAACGTGTTGAGCCCCGGCACCCCCGCACTAGAGGCGTGCTGATCCCGGTACACCCCAGTACTAGAGGCGTCTTGAGCCCGGTGCAGCTGTTTAGCGTGTTGAGCCCCGGCATCTGTTTTATTTCAGTTTAAGTCCCCGGTAGCCAAAAAAGCTGCCTCCCGGGACCATGGATCCGTCTGGAGGAGGATGAAGAGGCCCACCTTACCTATTTAAGAAGAGAAAGAGTTGTCTGGGAGAGACGGCAGTCTGCATCTGCCAACGGAACGCGTAACACCGACGGTAGCTGCTGCATTTGGGATAGTAACCCACTCAGCATTTTCCGAGACGGAGCCAGTTGGAGGACTGCAGGAGCCGTGTCGATAGGACCTCTGTGAGTCGCTACGACGGGACAGCGTCAGGAAGGAGAACCAACGTGAGGAACCCAGGACAGCAAAACGGGACAGAGGGGTCTTGAGCCGATCGACCAAGACGTCAAGGGACCGCCTAATAGACTGCCCTGGTCTATGGGGTTTCGAAGTAGAAGTCATTTGTCAATAGTTTTTGTAAACAGTTCTGAGAATAATAAATGTATCATAATTCCTACAAGTGTTCAGTCAATCTGTGTCCTGAAAACTCCCGAAAAGGTCTAAAGCTGTAAAGTAAGGAAAAGCTGAGAAAGTACAGCACAATGTTTATAAATAATCATGCATAAATTCGCCATATGAATAACATGGGAAATGAGTATGTAGGTTTGCTGCCATGTAAATGTAAAATATAAATATTTTATAGTCATTATCAAGTAGCCTAACTAGGTGAAACCACATACCAAGTTGTATTAAGATACGTTAAAAAATAACTGAGATATAGAATGTTATTTTTCCCATAAGGATAACATGGGGGACAGAGTGTTCTGTGTTTACTACTTTCAATATCTCGGTAACCAATATACATAGAGCGATGATTCAAAATACTAAATTGTTCATCTTTTAAAGCTGGATTCAACGGTGGAAAGTAAATTTTGATTATTTTAATTTTTCCAAATGATAAATCCAAAAAATCCATTTTGTGGGGCGTAAAAAATTAATATTTTCTAAAATACAAAGAAACCGTTGGTTTAACCGCTAAAGGTGTAATTACCTTTTTCATAGATAATAATTAGACCTTTCAAATAAGATGTCATGCGTCAAAATCGGTTACGCGGTTTCCGAGATATGCGACATTATTATTATTGGCTGGGCGGCCATTTTGATGACGTCACTGCCCGTGACCTAATTATTTTAAAGCTTGCCTCCCGGCTGATTTTCACTCTTTTACATGTATTTAGTCGATTCCCAAAGTATGGTGCTGGTCTCCGGAAGTGAAAGATTTTTACACTTGTTCCACGCACTATATCCACCTAAGGCCAATACAATATAACCAATATTCATGAAATCTTGACAACATTTCCAGTAATTTGACACTTAAATCATAAAAATTTGTGCAAGATAAAGGCGAGGGTGAGCACACAAAAAAGTTGTAATTTAAGAAACTATTACAAATAATGAGGTTATTGTGAGCTCACCAGCGCCTTAATTTTGGACCAATTTTGATGAATAAAGTGTGAATGCATTTATTTATTTGTGTAATGAAAATGCATTTTATGTTTTGATACTTATCAACAATATTAATAATTGTCATTATTTTTGAACACTTTAATTGGGACACAGCACATTTTGCAGTTTTCTTTAACATAATATCCATCACATGTTGTTGAAATGTTTTTGAGTTGTAGTAATGGTTCATTTAACACCATTCATGGCTTATTTACACATTGCACAGTTCTCTTAACCAATCAGCACTACTTGATGTTTATAACATTCACGAGTACATATTGAATGTACTTTGGTTTATTACAACTATTACAGTTTTTGTACATAATCATCAGCATATGATATCACTTTCAGGAGTTACGTCATGCACTTTTTTGGGATGGAGTTTATGGATCTGTTCTTTCCAAAAACATTTCTGGTTTCCCCCTATAATTTGTACTATCCACTTTGATGTTTTACCGACCATTCTGTTAACTTTACAGAGCCACCGTCAGCGCCACAGAACTTGACGGTGAACTTTGTCGACCAGTCTACGGTGATTCTGTCATGGACTTCTCCTAGTTTCCTCGGAGGTCGCTCAGACACGGTGTACAGAGTCGAGTGTGATGCCTGCGGTCCTAGTGTCATCTACTCTCCAACTACAGTAAGTCATAATCCTACCGGCTCTCATAACCTAACCTAAACTATAGTGTTATCTACTTTCCTACAACGGTGAGTTTCCTCCTGCCATATACAAGTAGACGTCCTATTATTATTCAATATAGCTGAGCAAGATGAGAATATTTACCAAACGAAAGAATATCCGGAGTGTTTGCTGTGATCATTTTTATATCAATATAACTCTGAAGTGAATTCGAGGGTAACAAAAGTTTTAGTAATCATTCGCATAAGATGCGTTTTGTTTGTTATATTTTTCCCTAATAGATTTTTTTGGACTAAAACAATTCTTTTTAATTACCAATACATGGAAAAGCTTCCAGCATTACTGAGTGTTTCACCAATAAGTAATTATTGAGATGACTGTACAAAATAACTGAGGTGACTGTTTTGAAAAATAGTTCTTGTGTCCTATCTACCACATCCTACACACACATCCTACTTACCTTTCTTATTGATATGATCTACCTGTAAGTGAGGTTCCAAAATAAATTTTTGTTAAACGACACAACATATTAATTCTGTTTTTTTTTTAGCCCCTGAGCTGGTTTTGTTGCTAAGTAATTAAATAAATAGAGTTACTTTCGTCAATCAGCTCATAGTAGTGTTACAAATGTTACGGCCGTTTCAGCATCTTCGTGCCATCATCAGACGTTCAGCCTTTATGGCGTCGTTAATATACAAAAACACAAATAACTGTCACACATACATAAACGGGAGTTTTTAACGAAACATGCCTGTTCAACACACATATTAGCACTCGAGCAAGTAGCAAGTAGCAAATGGACGTAACATTTGTAACACTACTATGATAGTCCAGTGCAATTAGACAAAAAATGACCTTGACCCGGACAAAATTGATAACAGGCTGAAAATTGGTGGAAACGTTCAGAACAATGTCCTGAGTGGCCCACACAAAGTCCCAAGAAATCCCAGTTGGGGAACGGCTGCCATCTTGAAAAAACTGCCGCCATCTTGGAAATTTAGATTTTTTGCTGTATTTTTTGAAGTAATAGTCCGGAAGGCATTATTTATGTCTCAAATTAAGCGTTTTGAACTCATGTATGAGGGTAGTATATAATTAAAGAGTTTAATACGTTCTAAGCATAAATATTATTTATATTAACCTAAAAATATATCTATAAAAATCATATAAATTTACAAAATATTTAAAAAATGAAGCTTTTTCTCTTTTGTTCTTAGTGGACTTGTTAAAGACATTAACCCTTTGATATTTCTTGCAATTCACTATGTTTAGTCTTTGGAATTGGTTAAATAAGGGGTGAATAAAAAGTCAAGACCCCCCCCCCTCTAATAACTTTCTAAGTAAATATACAGAAATATCCTTTTGGTGTTGTTGAAACAAACCATAGTAGGAAATTTCATTTGATGATTTTGAAATTTTTGAGTGTCCCCCCAAAAAAAGGAGATTTTGAGGACAACTCAAAAATTTTAAAGTATGTCCTATTCAAGTGACACCTCATCTTGAAGTGTTTACAAAAACTTAAAGAATGGTGAAAACCAGAGTTCGCTATATCTTCTCTATCCAAAATGGTAGCCCGTCAAAAGTTTAATGACGATATTAAATGGGAACTTACTACACATTAATTTTCTTGTGTAGTAAAAAGTAATTCCCCCCCCCTCTAATTTGTTCCTAAGTAAATATTACAGAGTAATCCTTTTAGTGGTGATGCAACCTTAGCAGGAAGTTTCATTTTATGATTTTAAAATATTTGAGTACTCTCCTCTGTCCAAAATGGTAGCCACTATTACAATTACGAACCAATATTACCATTGATGTTCCATAACGTTTGACGGGCTACCATTTTTAATAAAGATAAATTGGAAACTCTGGTTTTCACCATTCATAAAGTTTTTGTAATCACATTAAAATGAGATGCCACTTGAAGGGGGTTTACGTTTAAATTTTTGAGTTTCCCCCAAAATCCCCCCTTTTTGGGGAATATTTAAAAAATTTAAAATCATAAAATAATACTCCCTGCTAAGATTGGACGACCACCCAAAAGGACATCTCTGTATATTAACTTAGAAAATATTAGAGAGGGAGGTATTGACTTTTTATTCACATAGATGCTTTAATTTGCTATTTATTTATTTATTTATTCCAACAGCAAGATCACTAATTTACAATGTGGATTCAAGAAGCCTAAGTAGTAACAACATGCATTTTAACAGAAAACTTAACTAACTTAAATCTATGGCAGGAGCAGAGCAACATCGGTAACAGGAAATATAATCTTGCCTAGAAAAGCAACAATTTAACAATGAAGTTAAAAATAAATTATGAAAAAGCAATTAATAATTTTGTTTGTTCTGATCTGAAAAATAGAATCATCTAGTTGCTATAATTGATTACCATTATATTTTAATATTGCATATAAACTTACAATGTAACTACTCGCTGTTAAATAATATTGATGGTGATGTAATCTTCTTTGTAACTAGCACGGTTGGCACATCCGTGTCCAGTGCAGTATCCATGCATCGTGGTACAATTAAGACCATAAGGTTCCATAAGTTGTACTGTATCCATGAATCCATTTCAACATGGACTTGGTTTGTGCGTATTTTAACCAAATATGAGTGAAGGATGAGTGTAGGATGAGTGGCGAGATCTTGTAGTCTTGTCTCAGTTGGTAGTTAATGAGCCATATGGTGTCAGCAAGACAAGCATCTACAACTATTTTTTGTTCGGAAAGGGCTGTACTGACATCTCCCAACACTACTAAAGATGTCACAGGCTTAGGCGGACGTTGGTAAGGTGTCACTGGCTGAAAGCCATGAGATAGAAGGACACTTTTTGCTTTTGGGATGTACAGGGATTTTGGGATGCTTTTGCTGATCGTGGTACAGGAGCACTTGCATTGACACATTTCGGCTGGTGTTGTGCACTCAATGCCACCCGTGGCGTGAAGTGTACCATGTCCATAAAGTGTTTTAACGTTGTAATCCACGTTGTCGAAAACATAATGAACGTAAGCTCCGTCATCTAATGAAGGTGATACATTATCAGCTATCGAAGTCTCATAATTGACGACAATCTTGTATGTCGAGCAAATTCCGAGCTACGATAGAATGTCTAACAGCAACTTCGAGCCATACCGTCTGTGAAGGCCGAGCAGCAGGGGCGATATGAAAGATCGTGGTCGAGCTGCATTAATAATTGCATGAGCTGTATTAATTGTCTCCTTTTCAAAGCTTTATCATAGTTAAATGGATATTATATTTATATTTAACCAATTCCAAAGACTAAGCATTGTGGGGTGCAAGAAATTGCAATAGGATTAAGGGCTTAAACAAGTACATTACGAAAAAAGAGAAAAAAGCTTATTTTGTATATTTATATCAATTATTTTAGATGGGGACGCCACTATGTGCGTATTTTAACCAAATATGACTGAAGGATGAGTGTAGGATGAGTGGCAAGATCTTGTAGTCTTGTTAGTGACTAAGGCCGACATGTTCCTTAGACACAGATGTTAATTAGTAGCCCACGCAGCTAATGACAACTAAGGGGCATACAGTTTATGGAATCCGAACTACATTATAGTACTGCGGATAGTCATAGTACTCACTAGTGCGGACGTTAATCCACACCAGGGAGCATCCCATCCACCTTGCATGCCTATAAATATCCACAATTCGTATAAAAAATTGGACATAACCGTATCTAAATCATTATTATAGATATTTTTAGGTTAATATAAATAAAACTAATGCTTAGAACATAATAAACTCTTTAATTATATATTACCCTCATACATAAGCCCAAAACGTTTAATTTGAGACATAAATAATGCCTTTCGGACTATTAGACCTACTTCAAAAGATACAGCAAGAAATCTAAATTTCCAAGATGGCGGCAGTTTTTTCAAGATGGCGGCCGTTCCCCAACTGGGATTTCTTGGGACTTTGTGTGGGCCACTCAGGACATTGTTTTGAACATTTCCACCAATTTTCAGCCTGTTATCAATTTTGTCCGGGTCATAACCTAATTGCACTGGACTATGAGCTGATTGACGAAGGTAACTCTATTTATTTAATGATTTAGACACAACATAGTTTAACACTTATAATTGGTAAAGAGAACCTCCCAGTTTGAAATGTGCACATTTATGTAATAGCTACTTAAAGGAACTTAAACTTTGGTGTTGGTCAAATTCACTAACAGGTTTGGATCATTTAGTACTTCTACTAAAGTCACAAAACTAACCACGAACTTTTTTAACAATCATTTATTTTTGTTTCAGGATATATTCAATGACACCAAGATAACAATATCGGGACTGAGCCCTGTGACGACGTATCGGTTCCAAGTTTTCTCCGCCAACGGTGTGAGTGACATGACCAATGAGCCAGGAGAGTACGTGGACATCACAGTTACGACGGAAGCCTCAGTCATGTCCGCGACTGTTAACAATGTCAGAACTACATCCGTCAAGGCTTCTGAGATTACACTTACGTGGGACCCTCCGTTCACACCTGACTCTGACATGGACTCTCCGGACCACGTGGAGATGTATGAGGTGAGTGGAAGATTAAATTGCCTGTAATATAAATTGCTCAAATTTACGATTAGTTAGTAGTTAGATTAGTCAGGAGTTAGTTGTGATGAAGTACAATTTTTTAATCATCTGTTCACTTTAAGTACAATATAGTACTGATTTGAATCTTTTTAGCATACTTTTGCTTTACAGTTATGTGTAATCTATACATGTTTGACTGTGACATATAGGTTGTGAAAGAGAACATGACTGATAATTAATTGATGACAAGTGATAAGTTTTTGGTGAGCAGTGAACTAGGCTTAGAAGCACCTTAACATTAGCAAACCACAACTTAGTTATTGTTTGTTCTGTTGTTTTCTTTACTACACTTTTGGAATTGTTTAGAAGATATGGGAATAGTTTACCATTCATAGTACGGAAACATGAAGAGCAAAACTAAAGTATTCTTGTCTTATCAGGTGCGATGTTTCTCACGACATGAGGAGATCAACGCCACCAGCAAGATGACGACAGAGAACCGCATCTCATTCACCGGACTGAGGCAACGGACGGAGTACGGCTTCCAAGTGAGAGCCAAGACAACTCACGGCTGGGGAGACTTTAGTCCAACTGTCTTCAAAACAACGGGTCAAGTTTTGGGCACAGGTATGGTGAAATGACAGTCCATCTGGTAAATTTCTAGGTTTTAATAACTGTGTTTGTTCATTGTAAGTGAGATCGAATTTATTTTCTATGTTCCTGTTTAAAGTTAATTGAAGGTTCTATGTGTCCTGAATTGTCTGACATTGAATTGACATTGACTGAATTGTCTACATCTTGTCAAAACCATTTTTGTTTTTAAGTTTGCATTGGTTTTTTGTCCATCTCAATCTTCACCATACTGTTATTCCTATAGCTGTTTCCTTTTGTGTTATATCAAAAATATTATGTTTTCAACGTAAAGTCTACTAGGCAGTGTGGTTGGAGTGCTTACCTTTTGAAAGATGCCGATTTAATCCCTAAATTAATCAATTGTAGACTCACTTTCCTTATGTCATCAAGCTGACTTTTTACTGACACTTTGAAAAAAGGTCAACTTATAAGTTAAAAAGACCAGAATTTTCTTAAATAATGAGTAAACAACGCTGCTAGCATTGGGACGTTAAACCATGTAAATACTGGCTAAAGTCTCATAGCTTGAAACCAAGACTCTTGGTCAAGGTTGTTTTACTATGTAAGCCCTGAATATTTTTTTAAAAGTAAGACCTGTTTGTAGCTTACATCGGAGATGAAGATAACATGCAAGTTAGAATCATCGCAGGAGCCACTGTAGCCGTCGTTGTCCTCTTGGTCATCATAATCATCATGGCAGTGCTCTTCTTGAGAAGGTTTGTTAACTACAAAAAAAAAAAAAAAAAACACCAAACTACACCCAACATTTTTGTGTTTTCATTTGGTTTTGTGTGGTTGTTTGGTCTCACCTATATGTGATTTGTAAATTTTTCAACCAGAATATTAGTGGAAAACTGGTAGGGTACAAAAATAAATCATGCAATAGGTTAAGTTGTAGTGAATTCGAGCTCCTCTTTAATTAATGCACACTCCAAGCAAAATTATATGTCAAGCAATATTACCGTACTAAGTTTGGAAAAAAGTGTACGCACAACAGTGTTCTTGGTATTTTACAGAGAATTTATATCTTTCAATTTCAGTCTGTTAGTGTGAATTGTAGTTGATTGTCAAATAATAAGCAAGTTTATTAGACATAATTTAATACTATAAATGGTTTGAAGTAATTGTATTATCGGTAATCCAATTGGTTGCCGTGGCAACTAGTTTTGGGTCACAATGGAGCCTTTGTCAGTTGTTACAAGGACAGGTCTTCCAAAGGTCATCACATTTCACAAATATTTACAAACAACGAAAACACAACACGCATAACTAAGAGTTTTTTTACGATGCGACAGGCGGGAGTTAACGTCTAGTCTCTAAACTTGAATCATATTTCAATCATCCCCAATTAAATTTACTTCACATCATTTTACCCTTATAATTAATGCAATACAAATTATATATTAAAATCCAACTACTAAAATTGAGCCATGGGTCTTGCTAATTTTCCTGCAAAATTACAAGATTTTACAATGCTTTCAACAAAAGCAACATACAAATTACACTATTGCAATGAAAGCTAACATTTAATATTTATTTGTATGCATCGAAAATCATTCTCTATTATAACTATCAACAACAACAACAATCTAATGAAATCATGTGATTTTTTACAGTCGAACCAATGATGAATGCAACAAGAAGCAACCTAGTGATTGTGACACTTTAGAATATCGAAACGGAGAAGGTGAGTTGTGGAAGCTTCTTAAATAAACAATTATTCTACCTCAAGTATGTCCAATGAAAATCCAAACTTTTTTCTTCTAGGCTTTATGAAAACATAACTAATGTGTAGCCCATTTAATAATTTAAAAAATAGGCCTACTGTTTTGATTTTGGAAAATATCCATTTCATATCTTTTTACAATATAATGGTTCATTTACCAAATAAATAATTTGAATGTTGAGCAATGGACTTATTTAGTAAACTAGCTGTTTTATTGTTATCCTACTCTGTAATTTTGTAATTTGATGATACACAAACCTACTCGAAATAATTTGTGTGTCTAATGTCCGAAAAGTGTGAAAGTCCCTCCCCAAAAAAGTTGTACTTGAACTAGCATTGTTAAAACAAGTGTTTACAAATCCATAGTTTGCGGTTTTACCCTGTACATTTTCTACCCCACACACTAGAGTGCCCCTGTAGGGTTGTCTGCACTTAACCCCTACCTTACCCCATATGGTCTGTTTATGCCACCCAGGACTTGTAGTGACATACAGTAAGTTTTCCTCTCAAATTGCTAAACTCTACGACGCTTTCTGCTTTCAATGTTCTAATTGTGTGCCAATTGTTTACGCTTTTGTCTACTGTCAATATTGTCATTGTTGATTTAAAAGGTTATTGTGACTTGGGATAAATTTGTCAACATTTGGTTTTATATGTTATTCACATTAGCCTATAGCCAGTGTAATTGGCATATTTATCAAAACCCTTGTTTGGAGAAATTTCTAACAAGTTCTTTGTTGGTTTTATTTGGATGTAATGTATTAATTTGTTTGAAGAAAGACATTTGTGGTTTCAGATATAATTATTTTATTTTAAAACCTTTACCATTTTATTTATAATTTTAATTTTATCAGATATATCAGGAATATATCTGATATTTATCTTATTTATCCAAAAATAATTTACTGAAAAATCTACCAAAAGTAAAAATGCTCTTTTATAAGCAGTTGCTGTATAAGTCAACTTTTTAAAGAAGCATTTGAGAGTTTTACCATTGGCTTACTGCATGTGTGCATGTGCTTCTTGTGATTTAAAGAGTGCCATTGACAAACTAAAACCTTTTTTGATTCTGATAGGTAAAATGTTTGTAAAGACATTAATATGCTTACAATATAAAAACAAAATTTAATCAATATTTTTTAAAAGATTAATACAATACTTGGTTATGAGTTTTGTAAAAAGCTCTGTATAAAAGAGGTTTTAGTCTTTATTATTAAAAAAGCGGAACAATGAAAAGTAAAATTCTTTGATTCAAGGATTTGGGGGTTGAAAGTATGACGGGGGACTCAAAGACTTAGGGAGGGTGGAGGCACTTAGCCCACTCCTTGTAATTGGAGGGAGAAATTTGTAGCAAACGTTAGCAAAAATGTTTTTCATACTAGAGTAATAACTTTATGGTGGCAAACAATTTGTGTCAGTCGAATAGTTAAAGCTTAAATACTTGATAAAAATAATACATGACATTTAGATTTTTATGTGTGTGCTTTTAGAAGCTTGGAATCCTTGGGGTGTAGTTTTAAGAAGAGAAAATATATAGGCTAACTTTATCTGACAATTATTGTGCTTTTATAGATTTTATTGTTCATTAATTTTCTTATCAAAACCTGAAAGATTTGAGAGCTTGTTCTAATTACGAAATCCAATGTGTTATGGGATAGTGATCAAATAGTTAGTTGCCTTTTCCATATTTACAGTTGATGTTGATTCAAAATTTTTTTACAACATAATTTGAGTAGGTAAATGGTGTTTTAATAAGTTTACGTCTTGTAAAACTTGAAATATAATTTTGGTTGTTTGTTGTTACCTAATTTTGGTATAAGTGGTTGTTACCTAAAGCAATTAAATATACACACATTAAATATAAACACATTAAATATACTTGTTCAAAATATAAAATATTTCACAATTAGCTTGTTTGTCTGTTTAAATTGTTATTTACCATCAGTTTTATACTAAAACCCAAAAAGATTGATTTATAATTCCAATCATATCCGTAACCCAAGATACATATCAATAGTATTGATAGAATTAGTTCCAACTGAAGCACATCCACATGCGTAGGCCTGCATGCGTAGTGTACGTTGCATGAGTGTTGCTTGTAGTTGTTACCGGGTCCCTTGTATCTGTTTGCAGTGCACTGCAGTCTGGATAGCCCACCCATAGTACCCACCCATACGAGCAGCAGTAAGTAGTCCCTAGGTTTAAGTGTTATGTCATATGGCACTCTTGTAGCCCCCGCATTAAATGTCGCTTTAGTGTCCAGTGCCCAATGTGTCGCATAATCGGGGATTTATTGGTGCATGTTATGTGGAAATTACATTAGTTTAAGGTTTGTAGCAGAGCATAATGTGGTAAACTATATCTTAAATTATTCAACGAATCTTGAATGTTAACATTTTAGTTGATTCTCCTCTTTTTGTACCAATTGAGAAAAACAGTTGGTGAAAATGTTAAATTGGATATTGTACAAACAAGAAAGTATGGTCAAGAGAGTGATTTCAGATTTTATAATCAAAGGTATGTTACTGGATAATATCAGAATCTAAAAATATATAAAAAACACAAATTATTTTCCCAACTTTTATTCCAAAATTTAAAATCAATTTGTGTAATTAGTTAATTATCAACGTAATACCCAGTGGACTAGAAAGCGTGAACTGGTAATTTGTAAGGAATTCCTGTCTGAAAAATTTCCAGTTTTCATTTCTATGAGTGCCGTTTCAGTGTCATTTGTATACTCAAAAGCAAACTCGTCGGAACATCCACTCTGATGGTAAGAATTGTTTTAATTAGAAAGTGCTCGAGTGACGGTCTCGTTAAGCTAGGGGGGGGGTGGGTAGGAAGGGAAGTAGGGTGGGGGTGGTGAACGAACGACTGAGTATCAGTCTCTCGCCTACTCTCCCCCTCAGCGGTGCTGTTTGGAGTTCCCTTACAGTCATGGTGTGTTTTATAACATTTTGAGTCAGTCCAAGTAAGTTCTCCAGGGATTTTATAATGATTTAGTAAACAGTGTATTTATATACAACCTAAAGAGTAAATTTAGAAATTAGTAAAAAAATGTATCTAAAAATATAAGTTGACTTATTTCATAAATCCTAAATTAAGTTTTGCTATTAAAACTTTTTAACTCAAATGAAATATTTTATCAGCTTTAATCTACTTAGCAGCTTAGAAAATCCTATATGAATCTATACAATTATTACTATAATTTGAGGTTTTTTTTCTATAATTTGTTATAGCTTGTTCTCTTTTTATCCTTTAGTTTGTCAACACTTTTGGTTCATTTTGCTGAAATTTTCCAGATTCGTGCTATGCAAAAAAATTCCCTTGAATGGTAAAAGAAAGATTAACGGTGTTATTCCCTGTGGTATTTATGGACTGAATTGTAAACATGTACCATAACTAGTTTGTTTATTAGATGTTTAAGAGACGTAACTAATCCACTGGATATTTGCAGTGACGACACCACTCTTTACCCAAGTCGGGGCTACAAACTCCCGGACGTACATCGATCCTCACACTTATGAAGACCCGAACCAGGCTGTACGGGAGTTTGCAAGAGAGATCGACGCCTCCTATATCACCATTGAAGCTATTATTGGTTAGTAAATCATTGTAGCATTTGCCTTTTTCATTTGATTTTTAAGTTTGCATGTTGTCCTGTAAAATGTTGAAATTAAAAACTGTTGCAAGCAAAGTTGGGGAGGAACGTGTTACATCTATTTTTGGGCTATTACAAGATCAGTTAATCTAATAAAACAACTGACTATAAATTTACGTCATGAGTTTTAAAGAGTTGAACAAATCTTACAGCATTATTTCTCGATAAATTAGTTAAAAGTCTCTAACTGATACTCTTGTATCTAACTATGTTAAAAGTTATATTTGTTGTGAAATATTTGAGTTATGTGAATATGTGAGGTTTTCAATGGCTTGTTACATATCTAATAGTAATTAATAATCTAATGAGTACTAGTAAAATCCAAAATGATTTTTTTAAAGTTCAGGATCTCAATCAACTAACACTCAATATAAGGCCAAGCCATTATTGATAATTCCTAAAAGATATAAACAATTATTGATAATTCCAAGCCATTATTGATAATTCCTAAAAGATATAAACAATCCTTAATCAGAAAGTGACTTTTTTTACCTTTGTACTAATACCTCAAATTAAACAAGATGTCTGTAGGAATTGTGATTAAATTATCACATTAAATCTCCTAAAGCTTCAGGATTTTTCAATTTGGGAAAAATTGATTTCTCAACTAATTGCTCCTAAATAAGAACTAACTAATAACAACTAATCTGTTACAAGAATCTATATGACATAAGCATGTGCTTTGTATACAAATATACGTAATTTCAAACACCTACAAAAGCTTGACTTGGCGTAGTCCTGTAATCCAGCTACATGTAGGTAACGAACTGTGGATATTTATAGGCATGATCTGTGGATGCGATACTCCCTAGTTTGGATTAACATCTGCACTAGTGAGTACTACGAATATTTGCAGTACTATCCTGATAGTTAGACCAATTCGTAAATTACAAGGAAAAAATGTGGTTCGGATTCCACTAGAAACTCAATAATTCAATAATTGGTCCCTTAGTTGCCATTGGCTGTATGGTCTATTAATTAACAGTCCTGTCTAAGGAACATATCGCCCTTAGTCAGTAACAAGACTACAAGATCCTACACTCATCTCCATTCATACATGGCTTAAAATACTTACCTTCATATGGTTGCTATTTCAATTAAAAGTATAAAAAAAAGTATTGACGTTCAATTTATAAAAAATATTTTTCCTAGGTGGTGGAGAGTTCGGTGATGTATGCCGAGGTAAACTCAAGCTGCCGCCTGACGGTCGAACAGAAATCGATGTTGCAATAAAAACTCTCAAGCCTGGCTCGGCGGACAAAGCTCGCAATGACTTCCTGACGGAAGCTTCCATCATGGGACAGTTCGAGCATCCCAACGTCATCTTCCTGCAGGGAGTCGTCACCAAGAGCAACCCTGTGATGATCATCACGGAGTACATGGAAAACGGCTCCTTGGACACGTTCCTCAGGGTGAGATTTGTAAAACTTCATTTGCTAATTGGACATTCCATCCCGACAGATTTTGCTGAAGTAAATTACAGATTTCTGTCGAATACTAGACTTTTAAACCAAATCAAACTTATTGAACGCCTTGTTGTGAGATATAGCAGCTTTTATATCACATCAACTACTTCAGGAAGCATAAAGTACAATTTTAGACTGTGGCGCATTCTGTCAGCCGCCCATCCAACCTTAGTTTTTTAATCTTCAGCTGGTCCATAAAGATGGGATGTCTTCCTCAGAATTGCTGTCTTGAAGTAATGTGATGATTAAAATGAGAGACAATCCTTAACTTTTGTCTACCTTTAAATCTAGAACCATATGTAATGTTGCAGGCTAACGATGGCAAGTTCCAAGTGCTACAGTTGGTAGGGATGCTGCGAGGAATTGCGTCAGGGATGCAATATCTCTCGGAGATGAACTACGTCCATAGAGACTTGGCGGCCAGAAACGTCCTGGTCAATGCCCAACTAGTCTGTAAAATAGCTGATTTCGGATTAAGTAGAGAAATAGAAAGTACTACGGAAGGAGCCTACACGACAAGAGTAAGTTTTATAACCCTTTACTGCTTAGTTTGATTGTATAATTGATTTGTGAAAATCGGTAAATTGTTTGGTTATTTTTCCATAACCCGTATTGAAGTGTTAGTAGTAAACATATACATTTGTGTTTGTAGTAATTTGTAATCAGTGAATTACATTTTAGTAATGCTTTTTAGCTTTTTTATGAAGGGCTAACGTTAAAGTCTCAGAAGAATCTCACAAGCATCTTCCTATATAACTCAAACTAAACCATCCGATAATTTGAACTAAGCATTTTAAGTGAGTTTCTCCATAAAATAACAGGCAGCGTAGACTCGATGTAATAATTTAACCTTTTTGACCCAATCATGGAGACTGCAAGGTCAAAATGACTCAAACATTTTCTGGTCAGGTTTTATTTATGAGAAAAAATAGGCTGTGAAATATTTTTGTATGGGTGATCATTTTTAGGGCTACAGTGAAATATAGATTTAAAATATATTCGCAAAAAGATCAATAGTTAAAGTATACTTGACAGTATTTTCAATAAGTATTGTAAACCTAGCATTAGATTTCAAACGGTTATTAACAACCCTCACTGAGGCCCATTAAATACATTTAAAGAAAAATTCAAATCTTACTAATGGGAAAGAAACTCATTCACAGTAAATTGTAAGGCAGTCCTCCAAGGATTTCAGTCTAAAATATTTTCCCCTTTCATCACGATGACAGCATTGATCTTACCTGTACCTGTAATGCTGCAATAGACATTACAGTATTGACATGTTGTTGCAACACACAACTACTGATTAATTATAAAGTGACCAAACATAAATTCATATTTCACAAATTAAGATACACTTTGTAAATATGTTGTGTTTGGAATTTTGATCCACACAATAATTAATTGATTTGTTGTTATATGATAAACATGTCAATCGAAGTATTTATTTTTGCCTCTAAACTACTATGCATCATAGCACGAGGTAATTGAATGTGAATGATTAAACATCGGTAATGGCCATAGTCCTTTAACAATCAATGCATGCAATATTGATTTTGTTGAGGTAAAGTTGTGGTTTTTATACGTAAACCAGAATAAATGTTGGTGTGGTTTTAACCTTTGTTAATTATATGAATATTTTTTAAACTAGTTATCAAATTTTGGCTTTGGCCTGTTATGTTCATTTGGATGCATTTAAAAAACTACACTGATTCCTTGATTGCCTTCAGTGAATTTTGCTAGACTTGTTTTATATTTACCAACTAAAAAACATACACTTTGTCAATCTTTTGTTCATCTTCTTGAAAAGATGCCTTACTTCCATAATATTTAACGAATGATCAATATATTTTCTTCTTGTTAAGCTAATTCTTTTCTTTTTCAGGGAGGCAAAATCCCTGTCAGATGGACGGCTCCCGAAGCAATCGCTTTCCGGAAGTTCACATCTGCCTCGGACGTTTGGTCGTTTGGTATTGTTTGTTGGGAGGTGATGTCCTACGGAGAACGACCTTACTGGAATTGGAGCAATCAAGATGTCATCAAATCTATTGAGAAGGGTTATAGGTAAACAATAATACCAATTTATTGTACCTGAAGATATACACTGTAGTTTCTGCTATTGTTAACGAGTTGTTTAAATTAAATGAGGTTTGTCACTCAGTCAGTAGACTGGACTTTGAAAGGACTTTGAAATCGTGACTGCAGTGTCATGGGTTAGAAACCTGGTACCTGCCAATACATTTTATCAGTCCAGTTCAACCTTAAAACTACTGTACCGGCTCTTCCCTTGCTTTGCTGGATACGTTCAGGCCATATTACACCAATTAGGGTTGTGTGATCAGTTTTGAAGCTTGTGAGCTTATGTAGATGGGCAAATGCAAGGTTAAATGAGGCCACCATCTTCTTTTAAATAAAGGAATGGATTATAGTATAAGCATAATGAACCCCAGGATTTGACGTTTTAAAGTGGTTTGAGACAAATTTGAAATTTCAAGTGAAAATTTATGTAGTTGGATTACATAGATGATTTCATTTTTTTATCAACATTGACAAAAAACATGCCACTTTCTATCCAATCCATCAATAGTTTATAATTTTTAACCCGAAGGTGGTATGTGGAGATGAAACAAACTAATCTGAGAACATTTATTTTTACATTTAATTTTTTCAACATTGTTTAAGTTTAGTTTTTGTTGTTATTTTTATGTCTACATTGTTGACGTTTCTCCAGGTTACCAGCACCTATGGATTGTCCAGAAGCTATTTACCAGCTGATGTTGGACAGCTGGCAGAAAGAGAGAACACATCGGCCCAGCTTTGCGTCTATAGTGAAGACATTGGACAAGCTGATACGGTGTCCGGATACGTTGCGCAAGATCGCTCAAAACAGGTACGGCAATCCTTCATCAGCTGTTTCTTCTGCCGCTTTTTGTTTGATTTTTATGTGTAAATATAAACTGTCTTTGTTATTTACTGGAGAGCAATGAAGAAAGCTCATTTTAAGATGTTAAGACTTATCTGTGTCAGTTGAGTACAGTGTTTCGGAATGCATCAATACTATTTTTAAATAGCTCAAATATTTGTAGCCCAGTAAAAAAAATTCAAATCATAGTTCTCAACATTGAAACATTGGAATAAAAAACCAAGCAATCATGTTTTATAAATTTAAACAAATCTGACGAGGTTATCGATATTAAACCAATTTTCCAAATACAATTAAAAATCCTCGATTTGTTAGCCTTCTCACTAAGTTTTTGTTGATGCAATCTTCTTTGTTTACATTGCTGTTAATTTATCTTTATCTTTCTCAATGGAGTTTTGTTACATATTTACCTGTTACATGTGGTTTGTTTGATTTTGCTTCGCATTGTTCTCATTTTGGGTTGCGTGTTTTTGTTTTGGCAGACGCCCGCCCGCACATAACCCCTATTACGTGCCCGTCACGTTTAGACCTCCTCAGTGGGTTTCATTCCATCACGAGTAACGGTGCTGGATTAGATTTTTAACACAAACTCACTCTGTTAAGGTACGCAGACCACCCTGGCTTTCACCCTAACGTAGAATATGTTATCCGTAAGGGGATGAATCTTCTCTAGTCTCTTGTGCAAGTTTCCTTGAGCGGCAGGCTTATTCAATTAAATTCAAATATCTTTATTTAATACAACACCATGCTAAATATTACATATTTTCCTCTTTTGCACACCCACGTGCGAGGAAACCTTTACCTTATCACTTTACTTATGGTCAAATATTTAAATCATTTATCACCTATGATTGGACTTAACTTTTAAGGGTTTAAAAGCGGGAGCTCTAGCTTGTTTGAACACTTTTGTAAACATACAATTTTGACTTCACTGATCTCAAATCACTATTTTAATCCTGCCAGCCCCTGGTTGGGCCTGCCTGATGTGCTGCATGCTCGCTCGCTTGCTTATTTGGAAATTGTTTCAATTTCTTGCTTTATTCTGTCATTAATTTATTTCTTGATTAATCTTTGCTTATTTATTCATCTCTGTATACATCGCAGAAACTTATGTCAGAGGAAAATTTTCTGCCATTTGTTGAGCTTTGATGTAAGGTATGTTCTTCAGTGTTTATGCATTTGCTATTAAAATCATAATATATTCTTTTTACCACTCCTTAGTAAGATACTTTGTCAGAGGAAAATTTTCTGCCATTTGTTGAGCTTTGATGTAAGGTATGTTCTTCAGTGTTTATGCATTTGCTATTAAAATCATAATATATTCTTTTTACCACTCCTTAGTAAGATACTTTGTCAGAGGAAAATTTTCTGCCATTTGTTGAGCTTTGATGTAAGGTATGTTCTTCAGTGTTTATGCATTTGCTATTAAAATCATAATATATTCTTTTTACCACTCCTTAGTAAGATACTTTGACAAAATTGGTTTTCTAAACAGTTTTTTTGCATAATTTTCTTTTGTAAATGAATTTGATAATACGACCTTCAGAGTTAACTAAAATATTTCAATGAGGGGTTGATGACAAGCTTGCCTAACATGGTGTTACAGATAAATGTTTGTGGTGCAAGGTGTTGGTAGAAAAAACATGTAATTATGTGGGTAACTCAGTGGTTCTAGTACAGTCTCTGGTTCAACCCTGAGAGATCCCAGTAGCTTTTAGACGGGTTGAAACTTGACCCCAGTAATAGTTTAGGTAAAAATAAATAACCTTAGCTAGAAAACAAGTCAGTATTTAGCTAGTCAGTGTTTAGTAACAAGGCTTAGAAAACCTTCACTGATCCTCTTTAAAAATGTGCACTCCTGTGTCAATCAATATTGTTTTAATTTAATCTAATATACTTATTGTATTTGTGTATCTTAGTAAAATCAAGCAAACCTAATTTAACTTTGATTCTAACTGTTTATTTATTTTGCCATAAATGAGTGTTTGTTTAGATTATACCCGCCAGTATAAATTCTTAATCAATTGAAGAAATGCAAAGACTTGCACAGTTGATGTAAACAATTTTAATAAGTTGTTAACTCAAAGTTTAAAGAAGCGTTACAACTTTATCTTAATTATTGTAGTAAAAGGTACAACATTTACAAATCATTCCATAAATACTCTAGAATCCAGCAATTAAGTAAATTTGTCAATCTTAATTATTGTTAACTGATTGAAGTATTAGGGATTATTAGTTTTCTTTCCCCATTTAGATTAGAACACTTTGTGACAAACTAAACTCCCGTAGTTTTTTCCTCTAGATTTTGAATCCAATAAGAATTACCTTTATTCAACCCGATTTTACTACCCTTTGTTTGATTGACAGTAATTCTAAATAATTATTTGTAAAATTAGTCAATAAGCAATATATTTATTTTCATTTAATATTAAAATAATTTTTCAATTTATTGTGTATCCCATTCTTGTAGGACACTAAGACTAAAACCTTTTGTCCTCAAATAGAATGTTAGGAATTGATCATGTTTTCAAAAGTCTAGTTTAAATAAATCATATTTTGAAATCTTACTCAAAAAACATTATACGATTATTTGCAAAAGTTGGCTCTCTCTAACAAAGTAAATGTTCACAATTGTCCTGATCCTATGATTATATCAGTTATACCTGGTCTTAGTGTTCTATATTGAGTGTTTTTGCGCAGGACGGCCAACCCGCTAGCACCAGACGCGCCGGACATGACTCAGTTCACATCAGTCAGTGATTGGCTCACGTCTATCAAGATGGCGCGTTACCTCGAGAACTTTGAGCGCGCCGGGATCACGAGTATGGAGGCAGTGGTGCAGTTGACTGTGCAGGAACTAACTGCGCTTGGGATCACGCTGGTCGGTCATCAGAAGAAGATAATGAACAGCGTGCAAGCCATGCGCGCACAGATATCCGCCAATCTCTCGGAGGGATTCCTCGTCTAGTCAACGGCGCCGCACCTACGTGGTGCGGTCCGTCACTCCCTCTACAACGACATTTACGACTTGTAAAGACTGTTAAACAGTGATTGTGTACGTGAACATTCCATGACGGAAGAGCATTCCATGTAATGTAATCGGAGCTCTTTATATTCGAGGTTTTATGAATGTGTACTGTGATAAAGATTCTGTATATTTTTTGTACATTCGGCAGTACTTAACGGAATTTTGTTTACTCTACGGCGTTTTGTGATGTAATTTAATTTGTGTGAAACGACTTTGTTAAATTTATAAATATATAAATACGGTGTATATTATAAACGATTTTTTATTGTGTTTTAGAAAAATTGTATAGAGCGAAAATGATTCCGTTTAGGAAGTGTAATTACTTGTTAGTTTAGATTAACTCGATCATTGGATGTGTACGATGTTTTAATACCGAAAGCAATAACGTTTTGTAATGTAAGTCGTATGATTTAAAACCTTATTTATTTGTAGACACTGTGTAATCGAGCCATTAAAATTGATTAACCCCTATCTAAACCAGTACTTAACTTTGTATAGGTATTTTTATACTTTAATTTATACTTTTTTATTAATTATAGTCTGGAAAATGTTTTAGTTGGATCGACAATGGTTAAAGTTACTAGAAACATTGCCATCATTAAGTCTGAGTATTAGTATTTAGTGACATTTTTATTTTGAACCAATGTTTTTTGTTCTGTTTTGAAATTTATGTTATATGAGCCACTACTGTATTCTACTTTATAAAAATGTTTAATATGACTTTAATATTTCCTTTGGTATCCTTAATAATTTTCAAAATGAATAGTCAATGATAATTTTAATTGTATTCAAGCATACTTTTGGAAGTAAAAAAGTTAGCTATGAAATCTAAGTTTAATTTAAGTTAAAGCTAAGCAAAAAACCCCACAACCTTCTCAAACATGTGTATTCTTATTCAATTGGAATTAATCCTATAAAAAAACTTGTATGATGTTAAAAAGGTGTTTTTGTGATTTGACTGTAAAAACTAAATGTGTGCATACTTTTTAAAGGCTAGACAATTTGTAAATAAATTAATAACCTCGTTTCAGATTTCATAACCAATTTCCAAAATGTTCTCAGTACTGTTGCCTAAGCAGGGTTGGTTTATGTTACTTACTTGATTCTCAGAGAGAATGTATAGTTTGTGGTACAACATGTTTATAAGGAAATCTAAACAATAATTCACAAATTAAGTATTTTATTTAAAACATTATTGAGTCAACTTTAAATTTGCCATTTACAATTCCAAATTTCCCTTCAAAAAATTTTGTTAATAGTCACAAAAAAAATTAAAAAATAACTTATAATTTTTTTTACACTGGCATAAAAATCTTAACTTTTTAAATGTTGGATAACTTGCTTCCCAAGTATATTCGTACATTAAGAAGATTATTTATTAAATTATAATTATATAAAACTTTATTTTATATCTAAATATTAGCAATTATCAAATCAGTATGGGAAAAATATTTATTGAATTTTTTTACTACTACAACTTGAATACCTATATCCAATGTCTTACTATCCAACATTAATTTGTGGTGAGTCGGTCACTCAGTTGGGCCCGAGGCAGCGATGTTGTGGGTTCGGATCCTGATACCTGCCACTACTTTTTATCAGTACAATTTGCTCTTGTACCGGCTTGCCCCTTGCTTTGCTGGATACATTCCATGCACAGGCCTGTTCGGCCCATGTGAACGGGCAAATTCAAGGTTAAAGAGGCACCCAACTTCTAATTTTTTTTTTTTTTTTTAATTAAATGTTTAGACTATTACAAGGCACCTTACAATAAAGTTGTACCACAAATATATTTAGCTGTTAATATTTTACCTATTTATATCACTGCCTTACTTTCTCATAAAATGGCTGGAAGTATTGCACAAACATGGTTGAAGACTGTATTCTGTGGCTCCTGTCACTCTTAACTGCCATTAAGCTGGATAAAACATGTCATGATTAATTTGTACGAATCAAAAGAGATATTTTAAGACTGGAGAAAGTTTTGTTTCCTTGCTCATGCTTTTGTAGTTTGTTAATTTTTGAAAGTACACTGAATAGCTTTGTTCGTCTCATCTTACGGTTCCTCGAAGCTGATTCACCGCCACTGATTCGAGTAAGTCTGACTCTATGTCCCAGAAATTCCTCACTAAATACCAATCTCATTTAAAGTACTGCTTCCATTTTGTACAAGCATCTCAGACTAATACATGTATAAGCTAAGAAAGTATAGTTATTTTTTACAACATATACTACCCGTGTACATTGGAAATATTGTATATATATTTATATATATCCTTCCCACGAATGTTATACGCCAGTTTTGTTTTGACTCACTCAGTTTGTGTGCCCGCCTTAGTTCCACGTTTGTTTTAACGCTGCCGACTTTAGTCATGTAACGCAATGTATGTTAAGCATCATTATTTCTTGTATGTAAAAGACTTTGTATAGACATTATTATATATTGATCCTTGTTTTTATTTCTTTTGTAAATTTTCATTATAAGAAGATAAGAAAATAAATGACGTCCAGCAATCGATCGTGTTTGTGTTCTTGAACCCTTTTAGTTTTAGGTTGTAGAAGACATCTGTTGTCTCATTCTCTACCAGCGCTGTAAATCTAACTTTTATTGCTACACAATACAGACAATTTAGCAATGGCGAGTTAAGGTCTGGACTCTGGAATACCTATTTTGTGCATTGAGAGCGCAAAGTATGTCATTACCGCTTGAAAACTGTAGACCGCCGCCAAAAGCTTCCTGCGGCTATACATTTCGAGAGTGAAAGGGTTAGTGCTCACAAGACACACATGAATTTTACTATCACCTTAATCTTATAAAACACAGATTAACTTTTTAGTGGTATACAAAAATAAATATCATTATTCATTGTGACACTTGGTTGGAATATATTATTGATAAAATAAAATTATTACCTTATCCAACCACAGTTGTTGGTATGACAACTAGTTTCCTTCCTTCAAACTTCATCAAGTCAACATTGTGGTAGGCTATGTCAATAGATTCTTTAAAAAAAAAAACTGTCACAATCACAATAATTTTAACTTGTCATGATAAAAAAATAGTTAAAATGGAATAAAAACCCTGATTAAAACTGTACAGGCTGGCGAACACTGTCTATTACTGCCACTGACTAAATAAAACCATAGACTAACCAACACAAGTAGACTTCTCATCCCGTTGTAAATTTTGAAGCACGTTTTTTGTGTCTAGTTCATGTACGGTGACACTGGGCGCTAGTGTCGACGAAACTTTGTTTCTATTATTTTAGGGTTAATTTCTTGATTTGTGCTTAACTGTTTGGTTATATAACTAGGGGACAAGTTATTGTTTATGATTAGATCGTATTACTTGGTTAAACGAGGTTTTAAATGGCTGCAACAATGAGAAACAAATTGTAAACAAAACACGACCTCTACATAAACCGTACAGAACTAACAATAAAATTGTCTTCAGCTGTTCCATAATGATGAGAAATCTACTAAGGGAGTATGTTTTATCTATGGTTTTATTTAGTCAGTGGCAGTGATATACAGTGCTGACCAGCCTGTACAGTTTCAATCAGTTTTATCAACTTTTATTCCATTTTTAACCATTTTAGTTTTTTAAAGAATCTATTAACCCACTACAAAGTATTAATACATTGATGACGTGGTTGCATACAAAATTACCTGATGAAAAGGAACGAAACTAGACGTCATACCAACAACTGTGGTTGGATAAGGTAATCATTCCATTTTATCAAAAATAAATATCATTTAGGCTACCTATGTTTGTTTTTAAAGAAATGATACTTGCTTTCATAGAACATCTCCGCACTAGAAAAACAGGCCATGCTGCAGGATCCATGATGTCTTACTTGTATGTGGATAGATTAACTGCCGTATCCCATACCTTTTAGGTTTTAGGTAAATGAGCTGGCTATTGGTAAGATTTTAACGTTATTACGTCTGACAAATTTAGTACTTCTATCCACCACTGTGACGTAGTGTTGGCTGCCAGCGCTCCAGCATGGCTTTTTTGTATTTGGGCCTTCGATAGAAACGCCAACAGTGAAATCAGCTGATTTAGAGAGTGGGAATGAAAAAGTCGGAAATGATCTATTTTGCATACTGTTTACTGGTGTGGAAATGTGATAATTTCCATGCAGTGGTAGGAATAGACATTTTAGAGTTGATAACTGTGGAAGTAAATAAATTGCCATACATGCCAAGTCATATCAGACGCACATTAGATTCAGGCAGAGACTAACTTTCTTTCACACCCTCGATCATAGCTAATGCTTGCATTCCCTACAAACAAGGGAGTCTATTAATTATCAGGTCCATGGTTCGCATGTGGCGAGATATGGGAACAAGAGATAATCATGCCTCCTCCCCCCTTCCTGTCAGGTGAATTTTCTCTTCCTTGCGCCACGGGGTCCATTTATTAAAGACCATAGGTTAATTATTCCTTTAGATGAAAAAATAACGTAAACAATTGTAGTGCAGGACTTGAAGTTTCATTAGTTTCTCCACAAATCGAACCGGATTGTGGGTGGGTTACCAACAAGTAATTTACATTAAGTGATTTGTGAGGAGCCAGTTTCATATATCACTGTTTGTGTGTGGTGAAACTAACAGCCTCCCACTCAATCCAGCCCGTGTCTGTAAACAATATTACCGTGAGTTGTAATATATTACTATGCATTGTATATACATATCACTCCCTTAAGTAAATTTATATTGACTTTGTTCCTGTATTTTGACCATATTGGCAAAACAATTGTTTCATATGTTATTGTCAGTGGGTTCTTCTGAAGGAGAGAAGCGAAAATGCATTTAGGCACATAGGTGGTCAGCAAGTAGTAACTCATGAATTGATCAGAATACTTAGTAAAACCACTTTTACTCTGTTGGACACAGATCTGAGTCTTCGTCACATTACTTCAGGTCAAGTCGACATGTGACCTAAGCCCTCAAGGCTCACACTCTTTCTGTCATTCTGTTCTTTACCCAGACCACATCTTGCCCAAAGTCAAGTTTCTTGGTGCTGAGAATATTGTGTACAAACTGAAACAGGTCTGATAGTTCTCACCCTCCTTCCTTCATCATTGGGATACCCGTGTCTACTGACATCAGTCATTGTATTGAGTCTTCAGGCGGGGTCATTCCCATGTCAGCACTCAGCAGAAGAAAGTGTGTTCATCAGGATTGTCCAGACAGTAGATGCAATTAGGTGACACAGCCTTGATCATTCTGATCAGATACAACCGAAAATAGCCGCGACCTGTCAGAAACTGCCGATTAACCAATGGTTGGACTTGTTGAATCAAATGCTTGGTCCAGCATCCCAACATCTCCTGTACACAGCTCTCCTTGCCAGAGCCGGTAGCTGCAGGTGCATTACTAAATTCTTGCCTGGTACTTCCCTACATTGCTGATACATTGCCTTACACTCCGCCAAAGGTTTGACAGGGATGACTCCAGTGACCACCAGGATGGCGTGTTCAGACACTGTTTGGTAGGCTGATGTAGCACTCAGGACTGCCTGATGCTGCACACAGGCTAGCCACATCCTGTAAATCTTGTTGAGTGTGTCTGCCTACACTTTTGCACTGTATAGGAGTATGGAATGGATTGCAGACAGCAACAACCTTCTGCCACTTTACCGAGAACCACAAACATTGGCCATTAACCAACTAATAAGCCGCAACCTCATCTGGGATCCCGTACCGAACTAAAACGGTTAGTCATTTCAGACCTCAGGATGTTGATTTAGGCGATGTTTCAGAAGACTAGCTAAAGTATGAAACCTTGGGAAGTACCATAAGTGACACCCATTGTTCGCGGGCCTTCTGTAGTTTTATAAATGAGATAGCATAAAGCTGGAGGTACTCCTTTATGATGAATTTGACCCCTTGAGTTACGGTACACTTTTCTTGGCCCGAAGTTGTCCAGTATTGCCTTAAGTGTATTCTCCATGTTTGGACCGAAATCGATACTACTCTCTGCATCCAGATATTCTGGACGCAGGAGCACCATCCCTGAACTCTCCGACTGCAACTTTAGTAGACATCCTATCAATAGACTTGAAGGCTGGTGTCTGTAGTGGAGTGACTTTCGCCCCCTTTTTCAGCGACGTCAATGGGGGTGACCTAGACACACCCTCCCCTCCTAAATTATTAAGTTTGTTAGGCAATTATATCAATTTATTGTAATAAGAGTTTTGTAAAATGCTCAGTAATGGAATGCTCATAAAATTAGTCAACTGCATATGATTCTATGTGTTCTATTCTGTACTCTTTTCTACGTAGGCTCTAAAAAACCTTCCTTCCTGTCTATTCTTAAGCACAATAAATTCAGATTGATTACTATTAGATTAGAAACATTGACTTCTAAAACTACAGTCAATACTTGTAATGGCTAAATCTTATATATTAAAAAAACTTGCTTTTTCTTTGCCGAGTTCGTTTGGCTCTTCTACCCGATCGATTTTCATGATTGAGGTCTCAAATTAAAGTCATGCACGCAAAGATTTCACATCAAGCATCGGCATATAACTTACCTACAGTATTAGTCGACTAAATAACATAATTTGATTAATTTTCGAATTCTTACATCAATTTAAGATGTATTTCACCAGTTATAATTATATAATCCTATATACGGAAAGCAAATAAAAGAAACGTCTTATAACACTTAAAACATATATTTACGCTTATACTGTTACTCACAAGACGGTAAATATACAAAACAGATGGTAAGTGGTGATCGATTTCGATTGGACACTCCAATCATCATCAGACCCAATAGGCGAATGAATAGGCGAATTATTCGCCTATTGGGTCTGATGATGATTGGAGTGTCCAATCGAAATCGATCACCACTTACCATCTGTTTTGTATATTTACCGTCTTGTGAGTAACAGTATAAGCGTAAATATATGTTTTAAGTGTTATAAGACGTTTCTTTTATTTGCTTTCCGTAAATTTAATAACACGTACAATGCTGATCAAGAAGTTATTTATAATCCTATATATTTTGGTCGAAAAACTTTCAGTGAAATATCGGCTTTTATTTAAGCGATTAAGATACTGTATTACTCAATCAAAAATCATAAATTTGATTATTTTTTGGATATTATATTCATTTTAACGCTGCGGAGCAGCATGGGTCCTCTAGTTTTGTTATTAAAATAATACAGGGACTCACTTTAGAAATCTCTGGATTGCATTAAAACTGCAAAAATTACCAAAAGAAAATACACTTTTACTAAAACAGATTCATACTATGCTAATATGAAAAAAAATTAATATTTTCAGTTAATTAATAATATTATAACATACAGGGTAGGGTATACAACATAAATTGTACACTTTTTACAATGACAGCTATTAAACATCTCAACTTAACATATGTATTAAACATCGTAATTTAACATATACCATGTAAAATGTTTTAAATTAGCAAATTTAATAGTCTAGTCAACAATTAGTATCATTGACTGGTTTGAAAATGTAGGAAAA